TGGTATTATTAATCACAGAGGAGCCTAAGAGATTCTGGAGTCCCCCAATGGTCCTCTAAAGCAGGGAAAACACGCGGGAGCCCCTGTTTCCTGAGTACACCGTGATGGAGAAAACACTGCCAGGTCAGGCCCGAGGGATTTGCTTCCGGAGACATCCACAGCCCCACAGCACATTGCAGACAGCTGGACATTTCAATTACACTACGAGCAAAGAAACGCACTGACCAGTGGAAAAAAGGTGACTTAAGAGCCATTGTCTGCAAGGTTCAGGCAGGTGGTGATAGTCACCTTCTTCAATTTTGCTGAAACTTTGGTGGTTTATGTCCCTACCCTAACTAGAAAATTCCCCAAATTTTTTGGCCCTACCTGCACCAGTTTGGGTTTTAGGGGTCAATCAAGTGCTAGCCAAAATAGGGCCCAAAATGCCAAATTATCAAAATTTGATTTTTGGGTTGCTCTTATTCACTGCACGAACTTTACCCCAAAGTAAAAGTTGGAAAATTGAATTCTAGGGGGGATGTTCAGTGGAGAGAGCGATTTTCGGCCTGGTATCTTCTTCGCGCAACATATAGGGGGCGTTCCAATATGGGCGCAATCCATTTTCGTCACTAGTTTGCACCCCTTATACTCTGAGTGCGATCAGTGCCCCAGAACTTTTACAGCTGCACCACATTGGTATGTAGACTATCCATTACAGGTATGAAAAAGTTGGGATAGTGTATGCGCACACCAATAGGTGGCACCGAACATGGCAAAATTGAAAAATTTGACGTATTTCAGCGCCACCTAGTGGGGTGCGCGGTTGACCGACAGGGCAAAGGTTAGTTGCATAATGAGGTATTGAGGTCACCCTTTTAGTTTATGAAAGCCATTTCTTGGGATAAGGACTACTGTCCATAGTAGGTGGCGCTTTACTAACAGTTGTACTGGTACACACTTAAAGCAGTATCCACTCAAAATTGCTCATGATTGGTCAAACTGAAATGCGCGGTGAAAATCCCAAGGAAATACTTTTGTATGAGATGTCCTTCACCATTAAACTTGCAGTTATTGCAAAGGGAACAATGGGACCATGACTGCACAAGTCAATACAAGGGGTGCTAAAATGCTACTTCGGTGGAACATGAAGGGTTGAATGGAGCACACAAGATTATTTTTCATTTGTAAAACTTTGTTCTGAACCACTTAAAAATGGGTACAAATACAATAAAATGGAACACAAGAAATCAACTATTATCCAGAACATGGAACAAGGTCAAACTCACAGTTCCATGTAGGGATTACAACAAAGCTGATTATATGAATACGTGATACAATGGGAATGTCGCCACTCAGAATCAGTCGCTGGATGGCGCTGCGACTGTATGAGCACTTCTACTGTGATCTCACAGGGAACGTCGAGGATGACACAACCGTGATGATCTGGTGCCAGTCGTGCCCGCTATGTCGTCGCAAAGATGACGCTGTTTGCCTGTAAAATGGCCTCATGTAGTCATACAGTCGCAGCAACATCTATCTGCGGAGACGTGGCGACCTCCTCATTCCACCCTAGTCATGCATAAAAAGTACATCACAGGTACGTATATTGTATACTAAGTTAGTCCTACGCAGCCTATGACCAACTATGACCATGTTAGTAGACTCATTTCAAATAGTACATGATCTTCACAAAGTCTTCTTCTGGAAACTTGTACCCAAATCGTTTTTTTGAGAGCTTCCATGTCTGGGGTACTGAGTTTAGCCTGAACGTCTGCTAGCATCTGAAACAATGGAGTAAACAGGAAGAACTAGTGGTGCCCTCAATCTATAATTGATGTAACTAATGAAACCACACATATGCCAGAGATGATTGAAAAATCAATGCTCATTACCTGAAACAAGGTCAAGTCCATCACAGGGCCTGTTCTACTGGGACACACCATCGAAATGCACCTATAGCAGCTCATATTGACATGCGCAAAGAATATCCCATGATTTTTGTCATCGAAATTTCATTGATAAAGGCTAAAGACATAATTCTGGAAAACATATCCTTGGGATAGTGGCTGCGCATCTCATAACTTGACCAATCATGAGCAATTTTGAGCGGATATTTCTTTTCACGTGTACCAGTACATCTGTTAGTAAAGCGCCACCTATTATCGACAGTAGTCCTTATCCCAAGAAATGGCTTTCATAAACTAAAAGGGTGATCTCCATACTTGATTATACAACAAATCTTTGCCCTGTCGGTCAATCTCACGCACCACCAGGTGGCACTGAAATACGTCAAATTTTTCCATTTCGTCATGTTCGGCGCCACCTATTGATGTGCGCATACACTATTCCAACTTTTTCTCACCTCTAATAGATAGTCTAACTACATACCAGTGTGGTGCAGTTGTAAAAGTTCTGGGGCACTGATCGCGCACAGAGTATAAGGGGTGCAAACTAATGACGAACATGGATTGCGGCCATATTGGAGCGCCCCCTATATGTTGCGCGAAGAAGATCCCATGCCGAAAATCTCTCTTTCCACTGACCATCCCCCCTATAATTCAATTTTCCAACTTTTACTTTGGGATAAAGTTTGCGCAGTGAGTAAGAGCAACCCAAAAATCAAATTTTGATAATTTAGCAGTTTAGGCCCTATTTCAGCTTGCACTTCACTGACCCCTAAAAGCCAAACCGGTGCAGGTAGGGCCAAAAAATTTGGGGAATTTTCTAGTTAGGGTAGGGACATAAAACAACCAAAGTTTCAGCAAAATTGAAGAAGGTGACTATCACCACCTGCCTGAACCTTACAGACAATGGCTCTTAAACCTGAGCAATAGCACAGGAGAGGATTCCCATGTCAGTGTAATATTTTCATTAAGCAATAGCCTTCAGATCAGCAATGACCAGTAATACATTTTTATATTCACATTAAAATGGAGAGAGAGGTGTTGACTTATAGAGCTATAATACACTGTATTTCATTATATAATTTTATGAAATTACCACGTAGTCTGTAAGTAATCAGCTAGTAATGGTATATAAAAATGCCTTAAATTCCCAAATGGTTTGAATATGTGGCGTCATTAAATGTTCTTTGCTTCCCTAAATAAGGCACACAATTAGTTTAAATCATCGATAGCTGGAAGAGAGCACACCAGACGAGACCCCCCTCATGAAAAGGCTTAGCCTTTTTACCCATAAACCTCTAGTGATGCCTCAGGTTCATGTGATATTGACCCAAATGCCAGAAAATTAAAGCTGAGATTCTCCACTTTAAGCTAATATTCATTGTCTTCAAATTTGATGTCGTGAATACAAAAAGCATAAAATTAGTTGTCCGTGCAAAACTGTAATGACTGCACTCTATGTTGAAAACATGGGTGGTCAGAAAGCTCCGTTTCCTCATACTTTGGGGCCTCTCTGGCAGATTATCTGATACGTTCACCTCTCCAGTTATGTGCCAGCCATTGCCCTGCTAATGGACAGCCATACATGCAGAAGCTATGCGAGGCGTCTCCTATATGCAGGACGCTGCACATCCTACTGCAGTTCGTACTTTCTTGTTTAGTTCATAACATCCAGTTGGCACTGCACTAAACTTTCCAAACATTAATACGGACCATTAAAGGAAGGTGTATCATCTCATCCAATCCCGATCAAGCAATCAGCAGCAATAACTTAGGTTCATCTGAGAGGAGGAAAGTGGGCTAATCGGTCACAGACGAATCTCTGAATCCTCGAAAAATAGAAAAAAAACTGTTTCATCTACGTAGAGTAACAGTTACTGTAGGTGCAGTTAACCTAATATAACATTCAATGAGCTGGTTATCAACATAGTACAAGCAATTAGACTACTTCAGCCAACTCGCTGAGAAACTAAGTAAAATTATGCATTTTAACCAGCCATGACAGTGTCAGCTGGTATTGTTTTCACTTTGTTAGTTTGAGTGTGTGTGCGCATGTGTGTCATCATGGCAAAATGGGGTGTAAGCAGGGACTACCACAGGTTTTGAGTACTTTGCCAGGTTTTTATATGTCCACCTGTCTGTGCACTCTTAAACCCTAGAGGCAGAATGAGCCGGAATGCCGTCGGAATGAAAATTCTTTGTATATTCCTGGATATTCTAAGTGCATTCTAAAAATTCTTACTGCATTTGGAGTGCAATCCAAATATTCGGGCCCATTCTTGTGGCCGGCCCGAATGTTTTGCTCCTGCTGAAAACTTTCCAGGTGCATTCGAAGTGGAGAAATATCGAACGGCATTCGAAGTGTATTCTAACTGCACTCTGACTGCATTATAAATATTCTTACGGCATTCCAACAGCATTCAAAACATTGATTGCAATCGAGGGAGAATCTAAATGGCAAGCCACGTCAAATCCTGCTAGAATGTCCTGAATGCGCCTCGAATGAGGCAGAATGCACCTCGAATGCATCTCGATTGCTGCGGGAATCTATTTCGATATTAAAAAAATTCAGCTGGAATGCACTTCGAATGCCGCTGGAATCAGTGGCAGCTGGTGAACTGGTGATAGAGGAGGCTGAAACCCATCCCTTGGAAATAATGATGCGCCTCGGTGGCACATCGGTCAAAGTGCACGCACCATAAAGGCTGTGTCCTTCTCGCGGCAACCTGGGCTTGATTCCGGCTCGGGTCATTCGCCGCATGTCATCCTCATTCTTCTGCCCAACTTTCCTGTATCTCTCTGCACTCTAACTGTCAAATAAAGGTAAAAAATCCCAAAAAAATCCATCCATCCATTCTCTATACTCGCTTATTCCTCACTTGGGTAGCAGGGGGAGCTGGAGCCTATCCCAGCTGACTACGGGCAAAGGCAGGAACCCACCCTGGACAGCTCGCCAATCCATCGCAGGGCGCACACACCATTTGCTCTCACAGTCATACCTATGGGCAATTTAGTGTCTCCGATTAACCTGACATGCCTGTCTTTGGACTGTGGGAGGAAACCGGAGTAAACGGAGGAAACCAACGCGAACACGGGGAGAACATGTCCGCACAGAAAGGCCCCAGGCCGGATTTGAACCCATGACCTTCTTGCTGTAAGGCGGAAAATGCTAACCACTGCGCCACCGTGCCATCTATCCCAAAAAAAAAATCTTTAATAAGTAAAATAATGATTGGTCATGACCTGTTTTCAATCATTCATTTAAATTACCATTACAGAAACTCCGAAAACTCTCAACATTATCAGGTGTGGCCAGTTTTCATTAATAACGCATACCTGTTAACTCTCACGCATTCGGCGTCAGTTTTAGTGGCACATTTACGTTCTCCTGCTGTAGTCAGCAATTACTCAATCAACGCATATGGGACACTCGTGTTACATTCTAAGTACATTCCAAGTACATTCTGCGTATTCGAGCTGCATTCTGTTTGAATTCTTGGACGTTCCAACCATATTCGGCAGCCATTCCGGGAGCACTCTGACTGCATTCGAGGTGAATTCGAACAGCATTCAAGGCACCTTCCATTCAGACTTTGGGTGGTGTTCCGGCAGCAATTGAACCGCACTCGTACGGCATTCGAAGTGTATTCTAAATATTCTGACTGCATTCTAACAGCATTCTAAATATTCCTACTGCATTCCAACTACATTCAAGCTGCATTCGAGAGCTAATACGCCCAGAATGCGCAAGAATCATTTGAGGCGGGTTCGTAGTGCATTCTAAGTATTCGAACGGCATTCTTTCAAAGCTGAAAGAATTTTGGTCAATTTGAAATTGCCACCCGAATGATGCGTGAATTTAGAAAATTCTTCATTTCGACTGGTTCTGCTTGATTCTTGCTGATTTTGAATAAGTGTGACGGGGGCATTAGAAGCAGAAGAGTCTCAAGGAACCCTTTGGGGTTCCTCACCATTGCCACTGTGGAGGAACCTTTTCAGTTCAAAAGGTTCCTGTAAGAACCCTTGCAGGGGCAGTTCCTTGAGGAACCCCTCATTAAGGTTCCTCAAAGAACTTCTTTGTGGGGAATGGGGTTCAATTCTGAACCCCTTGCAAATCATCATTATTATTACTTTGACTTTTTTATATTCATATTGTTGTTGTTATTATTGTTGACACGGCACGAATGTTTTCTTGCAGACATTTTTTTTAACTTGAAATTTATTTATTTACACAAAGCAATAAATAAATATATTTACAAACAAATTTATTTAACTTGAAACCACTCATTGTTGACAATTTTATACAATATTATCAATACAATCCACAAGTCAAGTAAATGAAGACAAAATAACAAAGCAACATTTGTAAAAATATTTATTTTTATTATTACTATTATTAATAATAATATTATTAATAATTGCAGCAGTATTCGCAGCTGTTTTGGTAGTAGTTTTATATACACTGTGGGCTCAAAAATTAATGGCACCCCCGAATGGCAATGCGCAAATAAGACTTTAAATATTCTAAAGAAATATATTTTTGAGAAGCTCTAAATAGCAACACATGAGAAATCCTGTATGATATTAATGTTCCAATGGAAACAACCAAAATAATTTACTGATCTAATTAAAAATCACTTTGCTCCAAAGGTTTAACAATTAATGGCGCCCATAAAGATTATTGTGGGTAACATCTACCAAAATTAAACCAGGTGCTAAATTCCATATATTCAAGTTTTATCTAAGTGTTAAGGAATGATATTGAGCCATTTCATCACTTTCTGTTTCATAAGGGTAAAAAAATGAGGCTGCAGACATGCACTATCCCTTTGTCATCCAACATCATGAAGAAAACTGAACAACAAAGTTCAAAAGAGGCTGATGGTCATGGACCTTCATAAATCTGGTAATAGCTGCAAGAAGATTCACAAACAATTGAATATGCCACTGAGCACTGTCAGGGCGATTCTTAAAAAAATACCAAAGAGACTGCTCAAGAAAACAAATAGGTAGCCATCTTAATGACAGTGGGAGATATCTTTCCTTGAGGTTCACTTGTCATGAGGTACAACCCCAATAACGAAATACTTGGGACAAAGTGTAAATTGTGAATAAAATCAAGACGCAATGACTTTCAAATCACACCAGCCAGTATTTTATTCACAATAGAACAGGGATAATATAGGAAATGTTGAAACTGAGAAATTTTACAATTTTATACACAAAATGAGCTCATTTCAAATTTGATGGTTGCTATAGGTCTCAAAAAAGTTGGGAGGGGGGCCTGTTTACCATGGTGTAGCATCCCCTCTTCTTTTTGACACAGAGTGGAGGCGTCTGGGCATTGAGGAGACAAGTTTCTTGAGTTTAGCCATTGGATTTTGATCCCACTCGTTTAATACAGGCTTCCAGCTGCTGGAGGGTTTTTGGTCTCCTTTGACGGACTTTTCGTTTAATTATGCGCCAAATGTTCTCAATCGGTGAAAGATCAGGACTGCAGGCAGGCCAGTTTAGCAAACGGACTCCTCTACTATGAAGCTATGCTGTTGTAATAGCTGCAGTATGTGGTTTTACATCGTCCTGCTGAAATACACAAGGCCTTCCTTGGAATAGATGTTGTCTGGAGGGGAGCATATGTTGCTCTAAAACCTTTATATACCTTTCAGCATTCATGGTGCTTTTTAAAACATGCAAGTGTCCCACACCATAGGCACTAATGCATTCCCATACCATCAGAGATGCTGGCTTTTGAACTGAACGCTGATAACAGGAGGGGTGGTCTTTTTCCTCATTCGCCCAGAGGACACGACGCCCATGATTTCCAACAAGAATATCAAATTTGGACTCGTCTGACCACAGGGTCCGTGTACCTTTCGGCGATTCGTTTTTCCTTTTGATTAAGGTAATGAAAAATGGGGAATGAACTGATTTCCGTTTTTTGTTTTGATGTGGGCAAACAAAAAACAAGCCGTCTCCCGATTTTCGTTTGGAAATTGGACATCGAAAAACGGAAAACGAGTCGTTATCTGATTTTCTATTAAATGATTACTAAACAAAAGTTGGGAAACGAAACACAGCCAATATTCTTTTAGTAGAGCTTGCTCTAACGCCGGAAGCAAATTTTTTTCCCCAGTCTGCTAGTAATGGAGGAATCACTATTGACTAATCAGAGTAGTGATGTCAATATTAACAAACGCCCGTGGAAGCAGCGTTGATGTCAACAAGCATTGTGTTGCTAGCTAGTATCGTGCTGCTACATAAAATGATGAGCGAAATCCGTAGCTCGCTGATTTTCGTTTTTATTGTACGGTATTGTCTCGCAATCATTCTCGCCAGCATTGGCCAGATGTCGTGATATGTCTCGGGCAATGGATGTGTGCGTTCCTGACGAACACGGTTCCATTGTTTGACTCACTTTACATTAATTTTAGCTGGTTAGCTAGGTAGCTACTCTCCTGCGCGCTGGCGAACGGGTAGCTATCGCGATCAAGTCGGTAAGGGCAAACTGGATGCTTAAAACTTCAGTTCAATAAAAAAAAAACATATCGAGGACTGACTGCAATAAACAGTTATGTCCAATTTAAAGCCTGTGATCCACTTACGCTTTTAAGGTCTCCGATTGTCCCGATTCTCCCCTTCCGACCAGTTATGAGCGATTACCAGTGGAAATTTCTGTTACGCGCAAGACATAGGTGGATCATGACTTCCGACCTGTTCTGACCCTTCCGCGTGAAAAAGACAGGCTCCGACTGGATCAGATCACGCAGATCCCTCTTCCGACAAAATCAAACCAATTTGATTTTGTCGGAAGGTATGAGTTGTCGGAGGGACGCGGGAGTATCGGTTGGTCAAGTGCAAACTAGGTGGCGAATATTTCCTCTGCAATTAGCCAATTAGAAACCGTTTACAAAAACAACTGCCATCTTTATTGTTGACGTTGGCAAAAATCAATCGGAAATGCTCGCGTTAGCGGATCATGGGATAAAATTTTGTCCCCAATCACTCTGACTTTCTACGATTGTTTGCGCGAGTTTCGGATGGTTCCCGGCACTTCTGACTGGCCACGATTGCTTGAGTGCGGAAGCCTTAAAAGCGTAAGTGGATCACAGGCATAAAACATCTGGACATAACTGTTTATTGCAGTCAGCCCTCTATATGATTGCAAGAGACAATACCGTACAATAAAAACAGAAACCGGCGAGCAACGGATTTCGCACATCATTTTATGTAGCAGCATGATACTAGCTTGCAACATAATGCTTGTTGACATCAACGCTGCTTCCACGTGCGCTTGTTTATATTGACATCACTACTCTCTGATTGGTCAACAGTGATTCCTCCATTACTAGCAGACTGGGGAAAAAATTTCGCTTCCGGCTCAGGTCAGAGCAAGCTCTATTAAAAGAATATTGGCTGTATTTCGTTTCCCGACTTTTGATTAGTAATCATGTTATAGAAAATAAGATAACGATTCGTTTTCCGTTTTTCGATTTCTAATTCCCAAACGAAAATCAGGAGACGGCTCGTTTTTCGTTTTTTGTTTGCCCACATCAAAACAAAAAACAGAAATAAGTTCGTTCTCCGTTTCTGAATTATCTTAATCAAAACGAAAAACGAATGGCCGAAAGGTACACGGACCCCATAGGACACTTTGCCACTTTGCTACAGTCCATTTTAAATGAGCCTTGGCCCATAGAACACAACGACGCTTCTGGATCATGCTCAACAATGGCTTCCTTTTTACATGATAGAGTTTTAGGTGGCATCTGTGGATGGCACAGCGGACTGTGTTTACAGACAGTTGTTTCTTGAAGTATTCCTTGGCCCATTTAGCAATGTCAATGACAGAATCATGCCGGTGACTGATGCAGTGGCGTCTGAGGGCCCGAAGATCACGGGCATCCAGTAAAGGTCTTCGGCCTTGTCCCTTACGCTCAGAGATTTTTCCAGTTTCTCTGAATCTTTTGATGATGTTGTGCACTGTCGATGATGAGACCATCAAAGCCTTCGCAATTTGATGTTGAGGAACATTGTTTTTAAAGTATTCCACAATTTTTTTTTTTTACACAAGGCTTCACAGGTTGGAGAGCCTCTGGCCATCTTTACTTCTGAGAGACTCAGCCTCTCTAAGACATCCCTTTTATAGCCAGTCATGTTACACACCTGATACCAGTTAACTTAATTAATTGCT